CCAGTTGACGCCACACGGCATCAGCGCCAGAAATGAATGTCCTATTTGTGATCACGGACATATAACATCTATAGACAAAGTTTCAGCGAAAAAAAATTTTTGAGTCTCTACGGTAGGAGTAGTTAATAGTGCCGACGACTTCTGAAGAAAACATGTCACGGTTCGGCGACTGTCTTAGAGGGGGGAGGGGCATTTCGCTTTTTTTGCTCCTTCGCACCGGCGCTGTGGCTACTGGCGAGCCATCGAGTGGAGAACTGTGAAGTCCTGTTAATTCACGAAATGACCTCAGCCAAAGGGTAATCAACATTTGTAAAGAATTCCTGTCGTTTCGTAGTATGACAGTGGGAAGGTGCAAGAGTGCGAAATGCTCCGCGCTGCGCCGAAAACGCTGCAGGACGCAGGTGGTTTGTTTCGCTTTTTTCAATCATACGACCTTTTCATTCCATCAACTGCAGGGCTCATCATTGAGGTGCAGTCGAAGACGTAGGAAAGTAGGGATTGACGAACAAGTTTCATCCAGGGTCGGGCGTCTCCCTCCCCTGCTACTGCTATGAATACTACCCCATGGCGCCACAATTTCACGATTCTTGGTGGATGACCGGAGGTGTCTATCCCGCTTCCCCCCCCCACCGTTCACAAGGTCAGTGGGCTACTTGCACTCAGTGGCGCTTTCATGAAGTCAACTTTCTATCTTTTCTGCACCCTTTCGGCTGCAAGGTATTTTATGACTTCGGTGTCTTGCCCATTGAAACTTTTCGCGCATGATAAGTTGCTCACCTCACCAGATCCCCGTCCCCTTGAGCCATTATCCTCCGTTTGCGCTATAGGGTTTAGCAAACACGCTTTCTGCAGATACGGGTCGTCTTTGAAGACAGAAGCGGTTTATTGAGAAACAATTTTTCCTTGGCGCTATGCTTGACCCTTTTTTCGGTTTGGCTTTTCATTTCCACCCTTTGTAATCTCTTTACACACGAGGATGTCCAATTAATTATTAGGAAATTCTCAACATCATCTGAAATTCCCGGAAAGAGATCTTAAACAGCTTAATCATTTGTGTTTCAGATAATGTGGTAAGAAGAAAGTGGCCAGTCTTTATTTTTCCTTGTCATTCATGAATGTTTGTGAGTGAAAATTGCTTTCTCGGAAATCGGCGAACTTTCAGTAAACAGCGAAGTGAACGCTCGGCGAGTCGCTAATGTGGAGCAGTGTTTTGGAAAAATGGCCAAACCACTTAATTTATTTGGAAGGGTGCTGGTTGGTGAAGGAGTGCTGGTAAAAATGTGTAGGTAAGCAAGTCTTCTTTTCAGACTTTCCTTAACAAATTTGGTATAGAATAAAGAAGAAGAAACAAGTGTGCAATAACGTTAGCATGCCCACAGTCGATATTTCTCATCAGTTCTTCAGAAACTGCTTCACTCTCCCTTCGCACTAAAATGAAATGTGAATGGTAGTAGCATTTCAATTTGCTTCTTCCCATCGATCACTGCAGACGTCCCCTGAAAACCTGTGAAATCCCGTAAAGCTATGCTTTAAAGAGATCTTCCTTCACATTGACAGGAGTTTACAAGTGTCAAGCAGTGTTCAGACTTCGCGACGGCAGCGCTCCAGGTCGCGCGATTTGACGATCGATGCGCATGCTTTCGACTGCATCGATCGCGTCGAACGCGCGACCGAAGCGCTGCCGTCGCGAAGTCTGAACGTTGCCTCACCAAGGTGCGACGTGTGATTCAACAGATACTGGCAATAGAAGCAAGTGGAAGTGCAAATACCCCTCCCTCTCCCAGCCTGGTGCCCCTATTTCTGGACAGTAGTGTTTGAGCACTTCTGGTATTTCGTTGTTGTTTACTTCCGAATCGTTTGAGTTCGAAAAGTTCGAAGAACTCCATAGGAACAATTCATCAGAAAAGGTAATTTAGTTAATAATTCTAGAGGGGGGATTCTATAGGGCTAATTGTTAGTAGTTTTCTGCAGTGAAGGCAATGCTTCTCACATAAGTACCCGACTTATGACTTGAGGCTGATTTCTTACTTTACCACATGCAGTTGAAGTTGCACAGATCTGAATTCGCATGCGTCGTGCTATCATGCTATTCGGGTCACCGATACTGCTCCAGTCGCTATCTTGAGCCCAGACTAACATCAATCATTTGCCGAAAAGAAGAGGGACTCGCACGAAGAGCACCGCAACATTTTGTGTTTATTAAATCAATTGGCAAATGAAATTGCTTTGGTCTGCAAACGTGAACGTCGACCACCCTTTTTTAGTACGCCTCAACTATGATAATGTTTGAAACATGTTAGCAGTTAGCTTAGTTACTTCCCAAAACCGTTTGATTCTTTAAGACCGTTATCCCTTTAGTAGGTCTGCATTCGAGGCGGAGACCTGAGTTTGCACTAAAGGCAGAAACTGAACATGTCGGAGTTGAATCTGGTAGGTTGCGATGAATATCGTCTTATCCAATTATTTGCGTTGGCAACCTTTTGTCAATTGACCCGTAGTTATGCTATTCTAGACGCTGCCGCAGTTAGGTTATTGTAGTGCAAACTTAAGGAAATTATCTCTAATGAGGGCTATGGTAGACTCGGAAGAAAATGAAGCATTTGACATATGAATTGAGGGGAACAGTGATTATTGAAGCATGAAGAGAACCACAATCTGCCTTAGGTCTCATTATGGGCTACGACGTGGACTGGGAGCTATCCTGCTGAACATGGCATCAAACCAGGAATTACTCAACAACATTCCTTTCATGACAACGCTCATATTTCAGAAAGAAGCCGAAACAGCGCCAGTTTTTCTTGTTCAACGATATTTTGGTGTATGGCAACATTGTAATCTCGAAGAAACGTTATAATAAGCAGCGAATTATTCCGCTTGAGAACGTAGTGCTGGAAGATTTGCCAGATGAAGGAGGTTAGTGTAAAGTGGTTATCACTGGATACATTAACAGCAAGCGTCTTGTTTTACTCTGAGCTTTTTTTGTGAACTTCGTTTCTTTTTAAGCGCTTCATTTGTGTTCATCTCCATTTTTTGTTTTCCGGTATGTATGTCTACTCTTGTGGGTAGGATAAAAAACTTGTCACTGATTGTTGTTCGCTCTGTAGGGAGTAGTATTTCCCCCTACGCAGCTAATGAAGTCGTATCGCCCATATCTATACTTATAACTTTATAATAACTATAATTTTTGCAGGACGAGTGAGCAGATAACTCCGCGTGCGATAAATAGCTCCGTTCTTGCTTCATAAATATGCAGTCCTCTCTTAGTGACTATTAGTGTTCTTGGTACTGGGTGAAAGTGAGTAAATGCGCGATTATTCTTGGAGTGCAGATGTGTTACCCGTATGTAATACCATTAGTACACGCGTAGGCGGTGCCAGCAAGTTCATTGCCATGGAATCGCAGGGCGGCGATCAATGTGACGTCATACATAACGGAACGCTGCTGCATTCCCTTCCCCCACTACGTGCAAAAATTACTGGCATTGTGCTTTCAAACCAGCGGTCCGCAGCACTTGTTCTTACAGTTCCCAAAAATGAGACAGGTTTTTTAACAATGAGGTCAAGCCAGTTTAGAAGATCTGGGTCTAGGTCTCAGGATTAAAAAACAGGAACCGCACAATGTCATGTTTTGTGGGGTCTTCACGTTGCGCTTCTTTTACTGCAGGTGTTTAACTGAGGGGTGGTTCAGCGGTAAATGGCAACCTTACCAGTGCATCCGGGGGCAACGTCCCAGATCCGCTCCCACTCCGACGAACCAAACCTTCTACCCTCCGTGGACGCTATACTGCTACCAGATTCGTCTGGGAGGATAAACCAGTGACTTGTTCATCGGTTGGGCCCCGCAAGTCATTGTGTAGGCGATATCGCATTCAGTAAGCTATTCTGAATAGAATTAGAATGCGTGCCCATCCCACAAATGGTTCGCGTTCACACGCAGACTTTTATCATTTATCCTATTATCCTTTATTAAGCGGTAAAATGGCTGAAGGAGTTAGAATGAGCGAGATTTTACTGTATTTGCAGTTCTTGTAAATCTGAAGATGGGTAATCTTTTTTTTGGATTGAGACAGCCCCGGCCCGGTGTACAATGGTCGTCCTTCCTTGTGCAAGTAGAACAGCCCCCAGCTAGAGGACTATCGCCCATTCTCTTTCGTCTGCAGCAGAAGCGCGGAAGCGAGCTACAGCCGCTGTAAGTTCTAGTTCTAACGCCTGCTCAGTTGGACCGCCTTACTTGCTAGATGTCCTCCGACGGAGGCCACTCAGTTGTTCTTAGTCGGGGCGGCGGGCATTGCTAATGCCCATGGATAATTCTGCTCTCCTTTATTACAGTTTACTCATTGGAGGTATATACATTCAATTCAACTCATTTCGCGAGGTGAAACGCGTAAAAAGCACGAGTGACGCAATTTTCGTGATGCAAAACCTCGACGCACAAAACGTGCGCTACCGTAATCCCAAATTCAGACACCGCGTTGATAAAATTCCTTTTTCCTTCCAAGAGTTTTTCCTCTGCGTTTTTGTTGTTTTCTTTTTGTATTCTTTTTTTGCACTGGATGATATCAACTACTGCGAGATGTGATAGAGAGATTTGTGAGCTAGGGGTTGCACAGAGACCGCAGGGAGGTGTGACTGTGAGGGAGCGATTTTGTTTATGTTGTTCTGGAGGACGCTTCTTGCCTGTTTTCTTCTTTGGGAGATTACTTATCAGCTACTGTTTCATAATTGGAAAGCAGCTATCCATGAGACTTTTATCGCGGGAGCTGTCTTTAAAAGAGCTTTCAAGTGCTTTGGTCAGTGACTGCTTCATAAGACTCTTAACAGGGTACGCCCTTGTTGCGCTCACTGTAAAGGAACGCGCGCATCATCCGTTCGCGTTTATGGTAATCGTTGAAAGCTTATGCTAAGCCCTTGTTGTGCATGCATTGTGGAGGCACTGACGACAATGGTCATCAAATGGGAAAAGTACCTCAAGCGGTGAGAAGGAGCCTAAACGATGAGTGATAAGCGTTTGTCCTTAAATCAGTTCGAGCCTAGAAAAACTCGCGTTTCTCCTATGTGTCATAGAATCGGACAATTTATCTTGTTTGCGCGTGTGTCGCAAAACTCAACACCAAAATTGACAACAGGGTGAGTGAGGTCTGTGCAGACATGTGTTTATTATGTCCTGTTAAAAAAGGGGGAGAGGATTGCGTTGAAATTGCAGTTCATTCGTTGATTATCATAATTCATTAGATGTGAATAGGCAGTTCTATGGTGGAGGTGTTGACTTCTAAACAGATGGGCACAGGTTGATTCATAATGGAAATGTAATTGCTATGATTCCCGGTGTTATGAGTGGAAAAAAAGTTTGGAATTGAAAGCACCTGTTGCCCTCAGCATGAAGGTGCTTGGCGGTTTTAACTTACACTCACTACAAAGCCGATGGCTTTTACAAATAGATATGAAAGCAATGCTATGATGTGACATAATAGAATACCACAAGTTAAGGAATAGGAAGATGGAGAGGGGGGGAGGGGCAGCAGCTGAAACACTGGTTCTTAAGTAATAGAGTTTCGCCTCCTATCATTATCTCGCTTGAAAATGAGGTAGTAGCGAGACGCTTACCACGTGCGCGTGGTAAGCGTGCGGTCTGTGGGCAAATCCCGGATCTGCTCCTGCTCGAGCGAGCGAACCCTTTTCAGCACATTTTAGCAGCACCAACGGCCGCAAAATTTGGTCAAAATGGCGGAGATTTCGTGCCTTAATGTTGCTTTAGTCGTCCTTTGAACCTGCCTTGACAAGACGGGCTTAAGGGATGACTGTAGCGACATTAGGGCAAGAAATCTTGGCCCATTTGATCAGCTGTTTCGGTCGTTGACTCAGAATTGACGATTTGGTCATCGACTGGGAAGCTTCGTGCCTCCTCATCATCATTACTTAATTTGCTTAAGAGTAAGAGTTGTGATTCATAGCGAGTCATGAGGAGGAAGAGCAGTGACTGCTCGCCCCAGCCATCGTGGCCATTGTCTTCAAGGACCATGGGAAAAATGAACCCCAGCCGTCGTGGCCATTGTCTTTAAGGACCATGGGAAAAATGAAAACACCCTTCTAATGATAATGCTCTAACCAAGAAAGCTTAGGTGTTTCCGAAACTTGTACAAAACTGGGAATACGGCCTTGAAGAACCTTTCGGCCACGTAACGTTTGTGAATTAACGTATTTTAAAGTGTAGGCGTCATGCTCCAAGATCAAAAACACTATCATTGGTTTTCCACTGATGTAGTGCTATGGATTTAGCTTACTATACTGATGCCATAATAATTTAGCCTCGAAAAATGGTTGGATTGTGAAGACTCCAGAGAAATCGTTCGCTGTTTATGCCGCATCACCGAAGGAGAAAAAAGAATGGATGATACATATAGAACGTTGTGTTGCTGATTTATTAGAAAAAGGTTAGTTTTCAGGCAGGCTTGGTTTTGCATTTTTGCGCTTAATTGGTCTTATGATGATTCAACTGATTGTATGCGTTTATTAGGTAATAAGCGACCTGCAAAAGAACATGCAGCTGTTTGGATTCCGGATGGTGAAGCGGCTCGTTGTATGGCTTGTGGTCGCACGCAGTTTAATCTCGTACAAAGGAGGGTGAGCGCTAAAATATAAAAAATTCATCCAATTTCGTCTTTTTGTGGCGACATGTAACATTGTTTGCTCTATTTTACAGCATCATTGCCGTGCCTGCGGACGCGTTATTTGTGGAGCGTGCTCAACACATTCCTATCGTATTGATAGTTTAAACAAGAAACCAGTTCGTGTCTGTGACATGGTAATCGTTTTACTATACTGGCATCGGTGTACCTTTACAGTTCCACTAAACCTGTCATGCCATAGTTGTAAGGCTGCTTTGACACCTTGTTTTGAGTTTTTCGAGCGACTGAGAAGTGTAGGTATCGAACTGTCGTACTATAGCATTTTGAGAGTGCGTCTGTGAATGCCAGCGTTCTGAGCGACTAGAAAATTATGGTTATTGATCTGCTGTTATGAGGGTTCAGCAGCAATTTGAGCGTACGGCAGCATTTAAGCGGCTGTCCGCCGAAAAGATCAAAATTGCCCGTGTAACGCTCAAAACGCTAAATCAATATCCATTTCATAGTTGCCGTCAAAACGCTGCCGTACACTCGAAATGCTCAAAACGCTGCTGTGCGCTCAAAGCGCTGACGCAAAGTATGAAGCAGCCATACCCTAAGTCTTGCCCAGTGTGTGAGAGAGGTCAGTCTTACTTTTTCAGTGCTTCACTCGTCTCACTGGTGTAACTGAGGATAAAGCCTCCAGGCAAACAAATGATGTCCAAAGCAGTCGAGAGGCTCCTTCACCACCTCCGAGACCGAGTGCGATCGAATTGGACTATGATGGCGAATCATCTTCGGGAACGGATGAGGAAACGGGTAGAGATGAGCACCCTGTAAGACCTGGCTCGGTGAGCATTTTATGAAATTCATTTGCTTGGCCCATTTTAGTGGGAGCATGATCTTTGCCAGGGTTTGCACACGAGACTTTTGCGGTCAAGTCATTCTGTGGGATTGATGATGCTCTGATGTGTAAACAAAAGAGGTAAATCATGGAGAATAAGGTCTCCGCGCTTGATCAGTCTCTTTTCTGGGTCCTTCCATTCAGTATGACAGTGACATATGGGCTCCAGCCAATGACAAGTCAGTATTCGTCAGAGCTGCTTTTGCCGTCCTCGGACGGGACAAGCTTACTTGGCTTGAGCGAGAGCTGATCCGGGTGTTGAAGCAATTATAAGGGTCTCTCGAAAATCGTGAGCTGAAGACGTTTTTCAGACTTAGTGATTTTTGCCACGATAAGGTGAACCGTTCTTATTGTGGTAGTCCAAGAAGGTTTTTATGTTTTACTGCTTTATACAGAACTGGTTTCATGCGATCACCTATAACCCTCCCTTTGCCATTTCCTTCTCCCAGGTTTTCGCTCAAATGTTTTCTTGGTTAAGGGCATGTTTCTACATATGGCATTAAACACCAAAATGTTTCCACACGACCCTCTTTGTCGCTGTCGTGTTTTTTGTGCACAGCATTCCGAAATGGTGATGTTACGACCCTTGCTTCACATTAATGGATTTATATGGCAAATAGCTAGCTTGGGAAGAAATTGCGCATGTTCCTGCCAATCCCTTGTTTTATTGTTGAACAGAATCCTCTCTTGTTATTACTATTATTATTGTTTCGAAAATTTTTTTAGCCGACGTTCTATCGTGAAGAAGTTGGCCAGTAGTACCGTGGGCTCGTTTCCATTCTGTGGTCCAATCTATGGTCGCCCTGCAGTTTCGTTCTTTCATGATCAAATTGGAGCTTCGATGAACAATCAAAATTGCAGCAGTGTTTACCTGGCGAATGTATGCTCATTTTATGAGAACATTTCAGTGTGAGACTTGAATCATTCTATTCTGTAACATTTGCTCATGTTCACATTGCAAGAAGGCAAGTTTTGCTGGCATCTGTTGATTCACTATATTGTGTTAAAATGACTGATCAAGCTTGGAAATGATGTACAATTTTAATTCCTTTTTTTGTAATGCTTTGAGAACGATTCGCTCTTTAAGAATGTATTTAGAGTGTATTTTCTCATACCGAATCTTATGATGTCCACATCATTGTGATATACGGAATCCTGTGATCCTTTATTGGTTTGAGGTGATTTGCATGTGTACTCGCCCAGTACTTATGTGTGCTTGAAGCGGTGAAGAAGAGTTATTTTTCACTGGACCTGTTCTTTGTATTCGCATTTCGTGGAACTAGGTTTACGCCGCTATTGTGCGTATCTACCAGACGCCTTTCGACCTCACAGAGCTCTTTCCTCCCTTTCTTCCTTCCTTTCTGCTTTGATTTTTTCTTAAACGCTCAGTCAAAAGCGGCGATAGCATGCCTCTGTATTCTCGCAGCGAAAGAAATTCTGACCGATGGCTGCATTGTCCGGGGCTTCTAGATTATGTTTGCAAAATTATTGATAAAGGGGTCAAATTCAAACTAAACGTAGAACTACAGCCGAACTTTATCATGGAATATAGTTTTTACAGGTTTGCTTCGTCCTGGCATAAAGAGCTAACTTTCCAGTGAAGTATGTTATAGTAATTCTGTCTTGCCAGAGGACGATGAAGGGACGTGAAAGAGTTGAGAGTAGAAAGACCCTAACCGAAACCTTGTCCTCATTCATTCCCCTTGGCGATTTTGACACTCATCGAGTTTTCTGAAAACGGCTGTCCATAAAACGGAGAACGTAAATGGATCGGTGTGTAAGACTATAATTTTAGAGATTCTTTTTTTATTTTCGATTAGTCCCGTTGTAGCAATCTCTAGGTTGTGTGATCTTTCAGAACTATTAGCTATGAACCCACTGAAAGGACAAAAGTCTTATGGTGTCAGATATAGAGTCGAGTCTATTGAAGGCGTTCTTGATTGTTGACACTCTTCACAGGTGTGTCAGTCAACACCTTGCGATTCGCATGATAAGTGTCATATCCATCATCTTATCATCAAAAGTGCCTCTGACGGCTGTGACCTGTGCTTAAACTGGTTTTTCTTGCACGAGTTGCAGCAGCTTTGGCATCTGTCGGGGGCATCTGCCGTCCTGATGTGAAATCTGGTTTATACTTGCTTTTCGAGTGGCTGAGAAACGTTGTAGGCAGGGATGGTCTGCGCGAGGGCATAGGGAACATTTCCCCTGATTTCTAATATCCATTTTTCTGTCTTTTTTTTGCAAAAGATTAAACTGCGGTTTTTCTTAGGGTTTCGAGATAGGTATCGGTTAGTGTTGCACATCTTCTTCATACTACTTAATGTTAGAAGCAATATCGCAGCCCAGAAACAGCTCCCGCAACAGCTATCCGCTGTCGGCTCTTCACTCTTAACTGCCTCTGGGATGTGACGGTAGGGTCAAGCAGCGTACGCGCGATATTTGCAAATACCGTATCTTTACGATCGGGTTATCGTGACAAACATTTCGCTGCTGTTTTTTCAGCAAGGCAAATCGTGGTACCTCAGCAATACGGTAATAAGTACAGTCTCAAAGAGTATGGTGTCCAGAAGGCATTGTGACTGTCAAATGACTCAGCATAAGTGATCAGCAGCTAAGCTTAATTAGCGCGCGAGCAGAATCTCTGCAGGTTTTTTGCAAATGAAAAATCTAACGCTGAGTTGCGGGCAAAAGTCGGACCACGGCGGGATCCCGTCCGTGGTCCGACTTTTGCCCATAACTCAGCATTCTTGTGATAGCTTTCGTATCGCGTACTGCGGCGTTAAACAGCAGTTATCAAACAATAACAGCTTGAAACTTGTAAAAGCCTTCAGCCTTGCGGTTCACTGCCGATATCGGCTAACCGGCTCATCACGTTGAACGTGTGAGTGCTCGAAGGCAATGGCACAAATAGCCATTGAGCTGAGTGGTCAAAAGTGGCCCCGAAAAATCTAACGGTCATGACAATCCACGTCGTACCAGCGTGAAGAGCGTAGCTGAAAGCTGAAATGAACCTAATCTTATTCAGTGATGCAAAAAGTTTGTCGCGAGCGTGTGCTCCATTGCAAGCACGTGGTGTCTGCAGACTTCCGCTCATGCGACGTCGCGTGGTCCTGAAGACGTCCCCTCTGGCACTCTTCCGATGGGACACCCACAATCCACGCGCCCCACAGTACCCCTTTGTTGTCGTCAGTACGGCCTGTATGTGCCATATGTCGAATGGGGCTTACAGGTAGCTCTCCCACTGTCAACCAAGAGTTCGGTCGACATTGAAAGTTTTGAAGTGTATCAGTCGAGATGAATCATTTGTAGAGATAGCTTTAACGACTATATTGCAACCACTTAGTTGCACTCGCTTCATTCATACTTGGAGGTACATGTCGTTAACGACGGAAAGCACTTGAGTGGTTTATCAGTTCGTCCCTCTATCAGCGAAAAAAGTCCGCAGTGTCCTGAAACAGCTGGGTGAACTGCAAGGCTGAGTCATTCGCGTGCATGTTCCATTAGACTGTCAATCTGACACTGTAAAATGCCACCCGTCCAGCTGCTTGGACAACCTTTCTATGGTTCATGATTGTTTTTCATGACTTACCCGTATAAGTCAGGATCGGGAAGATTCCCTAACAGGACTTACCATTCGTTGTACAAATATATCAGAAGGTTGTTGCCGTGAGAAGTTTTTTTTCTTTTTTGTGGTTATTGATTGATTTCTTCTCGGTTCA